ACCGCCTCGCGAATGTATCGACTATTCATCCACCGATCACCCCAAAGGCTAAATTTCCGAATTTAACCCTAAAAAGCCACGAATTGCCGGCTTCTTAAGAGTATCCCACACGTAACGATAGATCGCAAAGGTAGATCGTATCGATCTGTAATCCGCGCAGTTAAATCGAGTTCCATACCACTTAATTCTACTACAGATTGGTCTGCACGAATTAATCGCCCCGATTTATCATTCTACATTACAGCCACCTTAAGGCTAAATTTTCGACCTCCCCTCATTTTCCCAATTAATTCCCACAAATCGCAAACTATCAGACCCTTAAGTTGGTCACACATCTGGCAATAAATTGTAGCAATTTGTAAACCGTGCGGTTAAATCAACCGCCCGCGCGTCGGATAAATCTGATAAGTTTGCGCTACGATTTATTGTCACGTACCCAGCTTAACACCGTGCTTTGTGATTTGAAATACAATCATCCGAGTGAAGTCCGAAGTGCACTCGAACGTCACTCCGAGGGTGTGACGTCGGTCTGTTCGAAAAAAGTGGAAACTTTGAGTACGTCAGGTCGGCGTGTACGCGGCGGCGAAGGAAACGGTACCGCGGAGGGTGGAGTTGCCGTCGAGCCTCCGTCTCCGTCAAAAGCCGTCAAAAGCAGTCAAAAGCGATCGCCTGCAGGAGCGTCGGAGGCGGCGTCGCCGGGGAGAGAGAAGAACGAGAAGAAGAAGGAACTGGGACACGACCGTCAAAAGTCTATTACGATATTAAAAGCCGGTCGATCGAGAATCGCGTGACGGGGTCCGCTCGGCCGGCGAGACGTCGAGGCGTACATTACGTTATTCGCGTACATTCGCAAATTAGGGTGCGCGTACGCCGATTACTACCCCGGGACATTTTGCGGAAGATTGCCGGACAACTGCGAGGAACCTTCCCTGCATCAATAAATATTAAAAAAAGAAAAAAAAAGCCAAGAAATTTAAGATAACCCGGGTCCGTAGGTACCGGTGCACTCCTGGAAACCCGCGTACCTCGCGTTATCGCTTCATCGGGTAATTTGGATCGATATCAGTAAATTCAACGCCAAGGCTCCGAGCGGTGTCCAGGAAATTGCGCCGACTTCTTTCCGGGGTTTCGTGCATCATCCATTGCGAGGGACCGTTCGAACCAAGCCGCCGACTCGCGAGGTCGAAGTTCTATTCTAATCTCCTTCTCCGATTAGAGGCTCGGCCGAGTCTTATCGGCGAGACCTCGCGAGTAGCCGCGAAATGGCTCCTGCGAATCCCCGGAAGGCCAGGCGCGTTTACTCGCGCATTACGGTCCGGCGCCATCGTGGAGATCGATAATATATCCTGTAACGAGCGGGCGGAGCGTTCGATCGGCGGTCAGCGACCCCCAGGATAACCCTGATAACGTATGCCGATTGCGGCTCGTTTCATCGAGCGGAAACTCCCTTTGCCCGGTTGGCCGAAAATATTCGTTCCCTCGCCTAAGTTCGACAAAAAGTTCGTATATAAAGGTTCAATAATGTAGATCTGCATCGAAACGAGCCGCGTATCGATCAATCGCGTACCTTCCGCTGTCGTTGATTACCTACTTCTTGCCACCTTGGTAGTTCTATATAAACATGCAATTATCGCCAAAGAAGATTCATTGGAAAAATGAATCGGTGCGGAGCCATCATGTATGTTGAAAGTGAAACTTCTAAGTCCAAGAAGGTTATCAGATATTATTAATTATTCTTAATTACGCCATTACGAGATACCCTTACTCGGTCGAAATTGCTTGTTTTTGGCATAATTAATCTTATTATTTTTATTTCGATTTAAATGTGAATCATTAATCGAGAATAACGCGTCGTAACGCCAACGGAAACGTTAACGAAGATTGTGGTAATACGAAAACAATATTAGACGATGAATGTGAATATTAATTGATTGTAGAAAGGAACCTTTTCTCTTTCCGAGATGAGTTTCCTTTCGTGACATGTGAACTTACGCGTACTGCCGTGCCATATGAAGTTTCACTTTGAAATTTATTCGTCAACTTCCGGAATAAGTCAATATTCCCGGAGTAGCGTTGCCCTTTGACACAGGATTCGCGATCGAGGGATGCGTCCGAAATTCCGGGGGAATCCTTCGACCTGGGTTCAGGTCGACCTCGTCCGACCCGATGTCGCGAAGGAGGTCGATCTTGCACGCAATACCTTCGGACGAGGATACGAGTACACCGACGGACACAAATACCTCCACTCGTTACACAATACGCTTACAGTATCATCCACAGAAAAGGTATCCATATCCACCACTGTACCCTGTTAAAAATATCCCCTCAAAATGCAGTACACACGTAATAAAAATGTCTTCGAGACCCAACAAATCTACAATTGCATACAATTGTAGATTTTTGTACCAATTTCACTTAAAAATATCCCCTCAAAATACAGAACACGTAATAAAAATGTCTTCAAGACACAACAAATCTCACTAAAGACACCAATTTCAAAGAGCACATATACTGAATTTCATTAAAAATCCTCCAATGCCAGAATTGAGAATGTCAAGAGAAAAAAAGAAAAATGAATACTCTAGCACGAACCCTCGCGCAGAAATTGTTTCTCGAAATGGGGAGTACATTTGTGTTAGACAGTGTTCGAAACACCGGAAGCCATTTAACCCGGTGTTCGTGAGCCGCTCCTCCACGTGCGGTCCTTCCGATCGAAACGCGAGTTTATATCGGTGGAACATCGGACGATAATTGTTCCAGGAGAGCGATACGGTCGTCTCGACCCGGCAAAAGGGCAAGTCCGCCGACGTCGTCGAGGAGGCACCGCAGAAATGCCATTTCCTCGATTCTTGCAGGAAACGAAGTCGTGCGCTACGGCAATCTCGCTCGCCCTGGGGCGTCGAGAAACGTAGGTCGGCCATTCCCTGGGGTCCCCGAGTCCTGGAAACTCGGGCCATCAGGACATGTCGGTTAACCAGAACCGCGTTAACGGGTTAACTTCTCGAAAGGGAAAGAGGGGAAGGTACAACTGAATCTCCGATAACGATCTCACGATGAGGATCTGGCACCGCGCTTATCACTCAAAGAGGAACGAGAGGCCCTCTAGCTCGCCTTTGCGCAGGTTCTAATTATTTCCTAAGCTCCCCTGGACATATTTACGCCGGGTCCGAAGCACGTCGGGGTACATCGAGGGTAACCCGAGAAGCAAACGTCTCCTTTTCGGTGGACACTCGCGATAAGCGCCACTTTATCGGGCCACCGGCGACGAAACTCGAGGCGAGGTACCTGGCGGCCATTTAATCGCTTCGGGACCCATGTCCGACGTTATCGAGGATGAATAATTCTCGACCCAACGATTCTATATACACCGGGACATTACTATTCCGCGGGGTGAGAACGAGTCCGCGAAGTGGCGACTCGTTTCCGTCCTGGCGAATCGACGGAACAATTTATCACCGGGATCGCATCGATCGCCGCCCCGATCAGAGGAAATGCCGCGAAACCGGCGTGATATCTTGGGAATGATATTTTTCGCGTGCCATGGGGTATTGTCGCGGTACATTTGGGGACAAAAAGGAGGCATCTCGTTGCTCGCTCTTAGTTTCTTAGGCATTACCTCGACGCCGGCCAGGCGTGCGAGTTATCTGCACGTAGGATCTAAAGGTACGCGCAAAACGGGCCGGCGGAGGAACGGTTATCGTTAGAGACGAGTCAATCTAGAAATTATTTATCGCTACGGGGAGGGCGCCGCAAATAGCGGCCTGATAGCTGGCTAGCCTGGGAAATGATCGGAGAAATAATAACAAAGCGCGGTCGGCCGAGTGTCTCGAGACGGGGATCGATGTGGCCTTTTCTGCCCCCGTGGAAATTGTCGCGAAACCCGGTAGAGTCCTGCGCCAAGTGCACATGTCCACGTGCGCTTTGCCATTCCGTGTTGGACTTGCCCTCCGCCATTCCGCGCACTTTGCCGCTGCGAGTTGAACACATCCTGGACGTACAAAGGGATGTGGAGGGATAAAGTTCGAAAGTTCGTTCTTGCATAACGTCTGCGGGACTCACCCTGACGAGGGGAGCGTCAGGATTCCCGACGCAAGGATTGAAATTCACCGGCAACCGGCCCTCGACTCTTGTCTACGCCTTCAAAGGCTATCGCGAATGCGTTTACAAGTTCCAACGTGAAAATAATTGCAGACCAGCGACCGGCGAAATGCGTGCAGACATGAAAATTCGGGACGAGAGATCGCCGGGCGCCCGCGACTCGCTATAAATGGCGTCGCGGCTCGAAAATAAAAGAATAAAAAATCGCAACGAGCCCTCGGCGCGCGCTAATATCTTGAAAAGTTGCAGGAATCGCGTTCATAGAACTGAAGCGACAACGGTCAAAAGTCAATCCCTTGCCAAGGGCTACAAGACGCGAAAATTGGGGGCGAAAATATGCCGGGCGCTCGTGACTCGCTACAAATGGCGTCGAGGCTCGAAAATCGCCAGCAACGAACCCTCGGCGCGCGCCAGTATCTTGAAAAGTTGCAGGAATCGCGTTCATAGAATTGAAGCGACAACGGTCAAAAGCCAATCCCTGGCCAAGTGCTCCAAGACGCGAAAATTGGGGGCGAAAATACGCCGGGCGCCCGCGACTCGCCAGAAATGGCGTCGCGGCGGCAAGGTCGCCGGCAACAGGCCCTCGGCATGCGTTTACACCCTGAGAAGCTCCTACAACCTCGTTCCCGAGGGCGAAGCGACAATAGCCGAAAGCCAGTCCGCGGCCAAGTGCCCCTAGACGCGGAAATTCGGGGCGAGAACTCGCCGGGCGCACGCGACTTGCCAGAAATGGCGTCGCGGTTCGAAGGTCGCCGGCAACGGGTCCTTGGCACGCCAGGACCTAATCAATTGCCGCGACCGCTAATCGGCAGAGAGAAGAGGTGTCCTGACGCGCCCAGAACTCGGCGAAGGAGCCGGCTCAAGAAGCAAAGCTATCGAAAGAAGCGAGTCCTTGCCCTCACCGCCATTCTTGGCGTCCTCCTTGGCCTCCTCGGCGGCCGGCTGGACGCTCTCCTTGCTGGTGTTGCATCCCATCGTGGACGGTCGGCAGCCTGAGAGTTCAGTCTAGGGTTCCTCCTCGAGTCCTCTCGCCGGCATGGGCGAGAGCGGGCCGGAAGGTGCCGGAGCTATTCCCCCGTGGATGCGGGCGAGCGTCGGTCGGGCCTTTCCGGGCCTGGTCGGGCCTGTTCGGGTCTGGTCGCGCTAGGGCGAGACTACTCGGATCCTTGGGGACGGTCGAGGGGGCCTCGGGAGGACATCTCCGGGCGGGGACTACCGGCGTCTAACGCGCTACTCTACCGCGGCGGAGGGTCCCGTCGACGCTGCGGGGCGTACTGACTCAGCCGACGACCCTGCCCTTGCGTCGCGACGGCCTGCGTCGACGCTTCCGTGCACCCACACCTACCCGGCTACGCGCTCGTATGCGCGTAACTATGCGCGCACGTATGCGCGTGCACGAGGTGTACCGCTCGTTTTACGGCGACGCGGTTTGTCCCTTTGTTTTTCCCACGAGCCCCGAATCGACGGCGCGCCCACTAACGAATCCCCTCTAGTCGCGTCGACGGGATAATTGGGCGTAGAAACGATTCCTCGCGGTGTCGCGTAGAGCGATCGACGGCCCACTGATAAGCGAAACCCAATCGCGGGGTAATGCCGAATGTCGAGATCGAGGGGCGTGTCTTGAGTGGGTAACAACGATGCCGCGATTTTCCGGCGAATCAGCCGCTCGATCGACTCTACTCCGGTACCGCTGCTTTCGATGGCTCAAATCGTTAAGACGATGCTCGCGTACTCGATGTACGAACACTTTTTACTCTCACTGTACGTCTCCGCGTTGTCCATCGCGACCACTTGGCCACATGGATGAAATCGAGCGAGTAAACCGATCGAAACTCACCAACGAGACGCTCGCGTTGCACGCCCCGGAGGCGCTACTTAGCTTTTGGAATTGGCCGCTGCGCGTGACTTTCGAGCTTAATTTTAGTTCTAAATCGTTGTTACAACTTCAATAGTAACGGGAAAAATTAACATTATAGCCGAGGACAAATTAAACCGGCCAGCGAAATCATTATTTAGTTAGTAGCAATGTATTTTCGGGCGAATTACGACTGTAAGTCCTGATAGTTGCAATTAAAACGGTGTAACGAGAATAAATGTTCGTATACAAACAGGTTTGGGGAAATATGCTGTAAAGGTGCTTTTTCTTAAGAAACTAAAGTATTCGAGTTTTCTGTCACAGAGAAAAATTCTCGTCCCCGCCCCGAGCGGCACGAGAAGAGATACGTGATCGTTACATGTCCGCGGTACTCCACTTGTAGGCTTCCTCTTGAATAGCCTTCTTCGCGTTTTGGGCTTCGAACCACTGTTTCTCGTATCCGTTACTTCTGTCAACTCCGTCCCAACGATGACCGGGTTTTATCCCGAAACGATTAGGCATAAAGGACCCTTCGTACTTCGGTAGATCTGGAAAATGTTAATGGAATGTATAAGAATTAAATTCGGCATTGATTCAGGCAACCTATCAAGGCATCACATAAATCATGGGAATTTGTTCTTTACCTGGTTTACGTTTTCCTTCTTTTATTTGTTTTTGCTTTATGTATTCCAGCATTGGATCCCCTTCTCTTTCCTGTTCTCGCAATTCTTTGTCCAAATCGGCATCGTCAGCATATCGTGCCAGTGGTTTACTCATTTCGTACAGATCTCGCTTAAGTTTCTCTTCTTGGTCTCCAATTTGCTTTAAGCTATGGGAAAAAAATGTTGGTATTTAAACAATTTTTTTTACACTTCAAGGAACGATACATGGAAATCACACTTAATAAATACTATAATGATAGTAATACGTCAACATACCCTCTTCCCCATCGCGCATATTTTTCTTCCTCTTCTCGATCCTTTTCTTCCTTTTCCCGTTTTTCAGCAGCTTCCGCAGCTAGGTCTCGTCTCTTCCCAGTTTTGCGATCTCTTAAGATAGCCGCTTGACCTTTGCCCGTGACTTCAGTGCTCAACTAAAAATATTCATCTTATTGTAATATAAAGAATATAAATTAATTGATTTGGATCCACATTTCTCTTTGAAGTACTTTTGAACAATAATTTCATTAACCTATTAAAGTCGTAAAATATTAACACAAACAATATATAAATATCTGTACCTTGTTAAACAATTCTTTTTCTCGTTTTTTATAAGCCTCAGTCTCTTCCCTCAAAGCTTTTGCGTCTGACAAACCTGCAGTTTTGCCATCCAGTGTCTTCTTCATACGATTATCTCCTGATTGTGAATCGTTTGGACTCCTTGCGCGGCGATTGACCTTTTGTTTATTGGACTGTTTGCTTGTAGAATACATTGACGAATCCTCTGATGCAGAATCTGTGCTTCTGTCAGACTGTGATGAAAAATTTCTTTTTTCTTTTCTTGAATTGCGGTGTAATGACTTTGAAGGACCTGGAGCATTCAGATCGTCACTAATGTAGCCAGATCCTTTTCTTTTATATCTGAATGTTCTTTCAGGACTTAAATCGTCATCCGAATACTTTTTCTTTCTACTTGACAACTCAAAATCCCCATCATGGTCCTTTTGTATTCTTGAAGTATCCTGACTTTGATCAAAATTATGCTTATTTTTGGATTTTCTTGGAGGATCAAGATCATTGTCAGAATTTGTTTTACTCCTTGAAGACAATGTTTTGGAATTCTTCAAATGTTTGTCATACTTATCATCACATCTACTTTTGGATTTCATTTTTTCAGAATCTGTATTACCATCTGCATATTGTTTATGTTTTTGAGATATATTTTTATCATTGCTCCAACGACTTCTTGACTCCTTGGATCTATGGTGCTTGCTTGATGATTTTCTTGGTGGGCTAAGATCATCATCTGAACATTTACTGTGCTTTCTTGGTGGACTTAGATCATCGTCTGAACACTTTCTAGATCGACGTGGTGGGCTGAGATCATCTGAACGTCTTTTATGCTTCCTTGGTGGACTAAGGTCATCATCTGAACACATTTTATGCCTCCTTGGTGGTCTAACATCACTTGAACGTCTCTTATGTTTTCTTGGTGGACTAAAATCATCGTCTGAACACATCTTATGCCTCCTTGGTGGACTGAGATCATCATCTGAGCATTTTTTACTCCTTGAACAGTTTTCGTCATCTGAAGACTTTTTAGATTTCCTAGGTGGACTTAAATCCTTGGATTCATGTTCATCACCCATTTTTGAATTTGGTCGATGTTTTTTTTTTTTCAAAGAATTCAAATCAACATCTGAATTTTTAGAACCAATTCTAGTTGACTTTGAACCATGATCATGTGATTGTCCATTTCTTTTGGATGTGAATTCATGATCGCTTTCAAAAGCATCTTTAGAATCACGACCATCTGTGTTTTCTCTTGCTTTGCTTGTAATAGTAATATCTCCTTGTCCATCGTCTGCTATAATTTTCCATCTCTTCGAGTCTGAGAAGTCAACTGGTCCGCGTTCGTCCACTATTCCTACAATTTGTGGTGCATCTTCCGTGCTATTGAAGATTTCGAATTCCCCTTCCTCAATCGGTCTCATATTCTTCAAGTCTATGTCATCATCAATGACTTTTACTCTGGAACATATATCTGCAGTATGTACTTCTCCCTTATCTTTCTAAGAGAAAAGTTATCTCGTACAGAAGTAGTTATGTTGCGTACTACAACATGACCAAACGGGAATGACTGTACTTTGTCATTTATGCATGTCAATATTTCATAGGAAGAAGTAATTATTTCTTGTCCCAACGAAGGACATCCACATTTTTCGTATGTACGTACAACGATACGACATACTTGCAAAGGATTCTTAAGACTAAAAAATTTCCAGTACATTCTTATAGGTCCAAGCTGACATACGAAATAATCAACATAACCTAAAACACAAGGATCTGCTATAACCAATGAATCGACATTGTTATGGAAATCTGAAATAATGCTTACGTTTTTACTCCTACTTTTAACTTCTTCTTTTTCTTCTTCTTTGTGTTATCCCCACTGGATAAATATTTCTTTAAATAATCTTTCTGGTTGTTTTTTACACCTTCCATCGTAACGCCCCGTGATGCTCCGTGTGGTCCGCGTTTGTCCGCGTTGGCCCCGTGAAAATAATTATCCTTGCACTAACCTTTGCTTGCCTTTGCTGGAATTTATGATATTCCGCAAATGTTCTGCAACGTGTTTTGCGTGCTATGTAAACCCAAAAAGAACAAGTATGTATGTTCAACCGTAAATCATCTAATAATCAAGAGTGGGAAATGTAGCGACGGATTTTATTTTTTTATGGAAACAGCCATGATGGAAAGGACAGAAAACTAGATTTCTCTGCTTGGCGTATTCCCATCTACAATCTGTTTGTTTAAGGGTATATAGAGATTCCTAACCTAGGAGAAAAGATTGAATTTAAAGTTAGGAATAGTGCCGCAAACACGTGATTCACAGTTTCTATTAACCGTTAATTGTTTTATATTAATCAATCGAATAGTTTAATTGATATAAGACGTAATAATGGCGTATAAAATACTGGCAGATCCTGCAACTCCTCCAATAGGTAAATGTAAACTTAAAGCATGACATGTTCAGGTGTTTGCAGCTATTTAACATATTGTTCGTTGTAATACGGTTGTTATAAATTAAATACTAACTTATTGATGGTTTTCAAGGTGCCATGATAATGGTAGAAGTGATGCGTTCTAGTGGAATGACTAATATTGAGGTCTCATGGATGAATGATTCCAAAGGATCGACAAATGTATGTTTGGTTAATGAAAGTGGAAGCCCCATTGGTCATAGCAGTAATGATATTAATCGTTACTTTGCCAGAGTGGCAGATATAAATCTTTATGGTACATAAGTACTAATATTTATTTCATAAAAATTGTATTCCAGTTATCCTTATATAAAATGTATTCGTAGGTGGCAACGATGCAAGGGAAAGAACCGAAGTGGATCATTGGTTATCTTATGCAATTGGTCCCTTAGAATGTCATCGTTCTATTAAAGATTCACTTGATTATCTAGAACGAGCTCTAATGATGAAAACTTGGTTGGCTTCTAAGAAATTTACCATTGCTGATATTGCTGTATTTTCTGCTCTATATAATAAGGATGGTTTCAAAGATGATAACAAATATCCCAATATCAATAGATGGTATAAGCTTATTCTATCTTTACCTGTGGTCAAGGCTGCATTAACTGTAGTTGAGAAGAATAGAATTTCTGTTAAAGAAGGTTCGGCACATAATGGACTGCAAGTTAATGATGAAAATAAAGCTAAGACTACAAGAAAGCAGGAAGGAAAATTTATAGAATTACCTGGAGCAGAGATGGGTAAAGTACGTATGAAAAGAATTACGTTGAAATAAATAAGTCATTAAGCCATTGCCTTGTGCTTTAGGAATTGTAAATCTCATGAATGGCTTGGTCGTCAAATTTATGGAAAGTATTATAAATTATTTATGGAATAAATATTTGAATACAGGTAGTAGTACGATTTCCACCAGAAGCTAGTGGATACTTACACATTGGTCATGCTAAAGCTGCACTTTTGAACCAATATTATGCAGATAATTTTCAAGGGCAGCTTATCATGAGATTTGATGATACCAATCCTGCAAAAGAAAATGTGGAATTCGAGCAAGCTATATTAGAAGATTTAAAGATGTTAGAAATAAAGCCTGATCGCTTTACACACTCTTCTGATTATTTTGATGTCATGCTGGAATATTGCACTAAATTAATTAAGGATAATAAGGCATTTGTTGATGATACTCCAGCACATATCATGAAAGAACAACGTGAACAGAGATTACCTTCAGCAAACAGAGAGAACAGTAAGAACAATATTTTATTCAATTTCCGTGCTTCAGCCATAGTTAATATCTCTTAGATTTTATTCTCTCAATATAAACTAATAATTTGCTTTTTAATTTTATAGCCATTGAGAAAAATTTGCAATTATGGGAGGAAATGAAGAAGGGCAGTGATAAAGGACAAGAATGCTGTGTTAGAGCAAAAATTGATTTTCAATCCACAAATGGATGTATGCGTGATCCAACTATTTATCGTTGCAAACCAGAACCACATCCCCGCACTGGAACAAAATACAAGTATAATTCTAATTACTATGAATGCAACTACAAAGTCTGTTATGTCGAATTTTGATTGCTTTCCTTATAAGTTGCTTTTTATAGACAGAGTTGGTACTTAGGATTGTTATGTTTATTATGAGATAAATTGTTTCTGCAGGGTTTATCCAACTTACGATTTTGCTTGCCCTATTGTCGATGCTATCGAAGGTGTAACCCATACTTTGCGTACAACAGAATACCATGATCGAGACGTACAATTTTACTGGTTAATTGAAGCACTTGGATTACGTCGTCCCCACATATGGGAATACTCTAGGCTCAATATGACCAATACAGTTCTCTCCAAAAGGAAGTTAACGTGGTTTGTAACTGAAGGATTAGTAGATGGATGGGATGATCCACGTTTTCCAACAGTACGTGGCATCTTACGTAGAGGAATGACTGTTGAAGGGTTAAAGCAATTCATTATCGCACAAGGCAGTTCTCGATCTGTTGTATTTATGGAGTGGGACAAAATTTGGGCTTTTAATAAGAAAGTTATTGATCCAGTCGCAACAAGGTGAATAATTTTATATTGTTTTAACTGAACTGAAATCATTAAAGGTGTCATTAAGGGCTCAAGACGGAGAACAACTAATAATAAAGAATTCTATACCAGGTACACTGCTTTGGAATTTGATAAAACTGTTCCAGTTAATGTACAAGGTGCAGTAGCTGAATGGTTGACTGTACAAAATCACCCGAAAGATCCTTCTAAAGGCACTAAACAGATACAAGTTGGACCCAAAATCTTGATCGAAAAAGAAGACGCAGAATCTTTAGTAGAAGGACAGAATGCAACATTTATTAATTGGGGAAACCTTATGATATGTAAAGTGAAGAAAGAAAATAACGTCGTTGTTGGTGTAGATGCCAAGCTAAATATAGATGATAAAAATTACAAGAATACGTTAAAATTGACGTGGCTTTGTGCAGATGGAAAAGATGAATCCATTAAAAACAGCAGTGTCTTTACACCATGTTATACTGTATATTTTGATCACATTATTAGCAAGCCTGTTCTTGGAAAGGATGACGATTTCAAAGACTTTATTGCAAAAGATACTAGGGTAAATTTGCTGTTATTTAATAATACTTCGATTTGAATACTTGTATAATATTATTTTTATATCATGGTATATGCAGAGAGAGGTCAAAATGTTGGGTGAAACTGCGCTGAAAAGAGTGGCGGAGGGTGAAATAATCCAACTCCAGAGAAAGGGCTTCTTCCGCTGTGATGTGCCATATGCAAGTGCCAGTCTTTATTCGGGATGTGAGCAACCTCTTGTACTGTTTCATATACCTGATGGTCATACTGTAACTCCTACTGTCACCGGTCAGACTCCGGCAACTACTACATCTACTGCAAAACAGTCAACTAAAGACGTATGTTCATTGTAATTTTGGGATTTTATCGCATCTTTGCAAATATTTTCAATTGTATTTCTTTTATTAAGGAACTTAATTATAACATCGTGGAGTTAAATGAGAAGATCACGGTTCAAGGAAATAAAATACGCGACCTCAAGGCTTCAAAAGCAGAAAAAGCAGCTGTCGAGTCAGAAGTAAAAATTCTTTTGGATTTGAAAGCCCAGTACAAAGCAGCAACAGGAAGTGATTGGAAACCGGGAGCGACACCTAAATTACCTGGTATAACTTTAACTTCTCTTAGTAATATATTATTGGAGCTATGTTGAAAATAAATAACGCTAATGTTTTTTGATTACTTTCAGATGTAAAGAAACAAGATAATAGTTCGACAGTTTCAGGGTCAAATGACGTAGAAGTATTAAATTCTCAAATTATTGAGCAAGGGGATAAAGTCAGAAAATTGAAATCTGAGAAAGCTGGTAAAGCTACTATTGATCAGGAAGTAAAGATCCTTTTGGAATTAAAGAATAAGTACAAAACTGCTACTGGAAAAGATTGGAAACCTGACTTGCAGCCAAGTAAAAGTACATCAAATAAAAATGAAACGGTCAATCATATTGATATTTCCAATCAAATAAAGAAACAAGGAGATACGGTCAGAGAGTTAAAAACAGCAAAGGCTGACAAAGCAACAATAGATCGTGAAGTTAAAGAGCTTTTGCGGTTAAAAGCTGAATATAAGTCAGTAACCGGTAGTGACTGGAAGCCGGAAGCATCTCCTCCTAAATCTGTAGCGGATAAAACCACTGGTATACATGAAGAAATTGTACGACAAGGTGATAAAGTAAGACAGTTAAAAAGCGCAAAGGCAAATAAAACTACTATTGAACAAGAGGTAAAAGTTCTTTTGGAACTGAAGTCAAAATATAAAGAAGCAACTGGTGAAGAGTGGAAACCTTCCTCCACAAGTAACGCAAAAGATAACAAAACTTCTGAAAGTTCCCCTGCTCCAGCTAAGAAAAACCCAAAGAAGGCAGAGAAAACTGTCAAAGAAACACCGGTTAAAGATTCAGATGGCGGTAAGACAGGAACCAGATTAGGTCTCGAAGCTAAAAAGAATGAAAATCTTTCGGAATGGTATTCACAAGTCATCACGAAAGGGGAAATGATTGAGTATTATGACGTGTCTGGGTGTTATATTTTGCGTCCGTGGAGTTTTGCAATTTGGGACGTGATCAAGGATTTCATCGACGACGAGATAAAGAAGCTAGGGGTGCAGAACTGTTACTTTCCTATTTTTGTCAGTCGAGCAGTGCTAGAAAGGGAGAAAGACCATGTAGCAGATTTTGCACCCGAAGTAGCATGGGTTACAAAGAGTGGAGATTCAGACCTAGCTGAACCAATTGCCATTCGTCCAACGTCGGAAACCGTGATGTATCCTGCTTACGCTAAATGGTTAAAATCTCATCGAGACTTACCCTTAAAGCTGAATCAGTGGAATAACGTAGTGGTAAGAACACTCAATTCTTTCTTTGAAAGTATTTTAACATTAAAAATTATAATTTCAGTCAATCATGACCTGTTCATTATTAATTTATTATTATGTTTGATTGACAGCGATGGGAATTCAAACATCCTCAACCATTCCTGCGAACAAGGGAATTTTTATGGCAAGAAGGCCATTCAGCTTTTGCCACCAAGGCCGAAGCTGATGAAGAGGTGTTAACAATTCTGGAAATATATGCCAAGATCTACGAAGAATTTTTAGCTGTCCCGGTAGTAAGAGGACGTAAAACGGAGAAAGAAAAGTTTGCAGGTGGTGATTATACTACTACGGTGGAGGCTTTTGTATCAGCAAGCGGAAGAGGGATACAAGGTGCGACGAGTCATCACCTGGGGCAAAACTTTTCCAAAATGTTTGACATTCAGGTTGAAGGCGCTGAAGAGGGAGGAGAGAAAACGTTTGTCTACCAAAATTCTTGGGGACTTACTACTCGAACGATAGGAGTGATGATAATGGTAAGGGGTTTTTTTATTATTTTTCTCTTCATCTATTTATTAAGATTATTATATAGTTTGCTAGAATAAATTGCAGTGATTTGTTGTATGTAGCCACTTAATACTGGAAGCTCTTTTATAGGTGCATGGGGATGATAAAGGATTGGTATTACCACCAAAAGTAGCTGCCATTCAAGCTGTTATTGTACCCTGTGGTATAACTGCATCTACAACGCTTGAACAACGGCAGCATCTTTTATCGGAGTGTGCTAAACTCGAAAAAGAACTTAACAAAGATGCTATTCTAAGAATCAAAGGAGATTATAGGGAGAATTATAGTCCTGGTTGGAAATTTAACCATTGGGAATTAAAAGGTGTTCCAATAAGAGTCGAGTTAGGGCCAAAAGATCTAGAGAAAAAGCAAGTTACCTTTGTAAGAAGGGACACTTCTCAAAGATTGACTACGAGTCGAAACGATGTATTTAAGAGCGCTTCCAAGTTGCTTCAAGAAATACAAGAGAATTTGTTGACTAGGTAAAATAAAGATTACCGCATATTAAATGGTCAGCGATAGATGTACATATGCTGCATATTCTGTTGCAGAGCTACAGCCGACTTAAATAGTCATATCATCGAAACAAATGATTGGAATGAATTTTGTACACAGTTGGATTCTAAGAACATGATACTTTCTCCTTTCTGTGGAGAAATCTCATGTGAAGACACCATAAAAGCCAGTAGCGTGAGGTAGAGAAATTATTTTTTATATCTCTGTACAAAATTCCATAACTATATTATTATATAATGGATCGAATATCACTATAGTGAAGAATTAAGAATTTGGCTTATGATTATTTGGACGTAGCATTGCAGTAACTGTAACATATGTTTTACGACTTTCAGAGAAGACGCCGGAGAAGAGCCTGGGGCTCCGTCGATGGGGGCAAAGAGTTTATGTATACCGTTTGAGCAACCTAAAACGGCTAAGCAGTTACATGACACAAAGTGCATCAATCCCAACTGCCTAAACAAGCCCAAATTTTATACTCTTTTTGGTCGCAGTTATTGAACAAAGTTTAAACGGTGTTATGCAACCTCAGGATAATTCTTTGTAATGAATATCAACATTATCCACATAATTTAATTTCATTAATAGAAGCTATTGCAATTTACCCTAAATTACACTCATTAATCTTACATGACAAGCATAAAATGGAATCCAGTAGTAGCATAATACATTTTGCAACCATTTGTTCAAAGTGTTCCGAAGTCTTTGTGCTCCTTATCGTTATTCCAATTTATATACGCCTTTGACCAGATTTTAGAAGAAAGTGCCCATAGTCCAGTTATCACAGTTACAATCAGTCACGGCCATCTACAGATTGCACGCTGACACTATTCTACATGTAGCATGGACGTGCAGGAATGAAAGCAGGGTAAGGTTTAAATAAAAGAAGTTCTTGTCTGTTTTTCTCTTTTATTTGATAATGTTTTTTACAAGGGGTATACATACACACAGATCACTTAAGTTTAAATAATAGGGGACTTTTCTAAAAGTCAGGAGAAAAGCTTAAATTTAATTTGTAAGCGTTAAATTCGTCACATAATTTACTAATTTTCTACGTTCTCTGGTAATGTCGAAAACATGGAGTGATGTATCAATACCCATCTCTACTTTTAAGTGGAAATTAAAAAGTTCTCGAATCTGTCGGTAACGTCTGAACCTGTCGTTTAATGAGTCTCGTGCTAAAGGTGGACCAGTCTCAACGCACAGCCGCTAGATGGCGAATTCGCGTTAGCTGCGGAAGGTGGACCAAAGATACTCTCTGTTACTTTTTGATCTCACCTTTTCCCCACATCATCGGCGCCACCTACTTCAGTGGTTTCTCTTAAAAATAGTATCATAATCATTTATACTTGTGATTGGGGTGTACGATATCTACGTAATCAATGACGGAGGGCGCGTGACCGGACGCCTGCACCTGCTTTGTATTTTTCAACATGGCCTCGTACTTTCGGTGAGTTATTGTTTGTTAATATCTCTAATTTTATAAAACTTAAGCCCTCCTTGTCCGTCTCACGCCCACAGAAAGAAGGCATTATTCGTTCTTTACGACTAAGGTCGACGACATTCTTTTAGATATATTTCACAGTATCAAAGGAATCGGTCTATTGCCGCGATGATACGCGCTGACGTGTCCCGGCATTGTCATTAACATTCCATTCATTATCTTAACGGAAGTATCGTCAAATGTGAAATTCTCACGATTTTAGAAAGTCATTGTTTATAGTTTTGCTCACAAGCGCATTTTCCGTTAACTATAATAGAGGTATCGCAACCTTTGTTTTTCTATCATTTGTCCGTTGGATTTGTAATCTGAATCTAGTAGAAAAACTTTGAATGTCGTGTAAACACTTAGGTTTGACCTTATCAAGGTACTTTAGTACGATTCCAATGGTAGGCAGTTGAGCGGTTTCAGTATTTAAGTGCCTGAAGCCACCGAACGTACTCAAGTGATCATAATTTCTGTAATCATTAATACAATTTATGGACATCGACATCTTTATGTAGATTTTAACAGTCACGTCAAAGATCCATCGTCATTCCTATATGTATTATGTATTTCAACAGGCTGGGTGCAGTGGTACTGTGTTCTGCAGTTTTAGCTACTGCCGTTATACGGGAGAATTTTAAAACATGTGAACAAAGTAGCTTTTGCCGGTGAGTTCGTTATGTTCATTTTAACGTTCCTATTTTTATTGTCGTTACAAGCTTTATTTATTCTAGGCGTTGCCGCAAAGTTGAACCAGGAAAGACGCCTTACAAACTCCTGCCAGATACGGTCTCAAAAACCGAACATGCTCTTAATGTCGATTTGTTTAATAAGGATACAGGAGTCACATATGTGGTACAACTATCTGCACTACAGGATAACACATTCAGACTCCATATTAATGAGAAGAATCCTTTGCATCCCAGATATGAAGTAGAATATGCATTACAAGGTCAGCCACGGCTGACAAAATTGAACTCGGTTACGCAGACTGCAGAAAGCATAACTGTTACAAGTGGATCAAATAAAGCTGTCTTGCTTATTGATCCTTTCAGGGTTGATTTATACTCTCAAGACATACTTGTAGTATCTGCAAATGCTCGGGGCCTTATGAGATTTGAACACATTCGAACAAAGCCAGAACCGTATGTATATTTCTATTTGTCAAATTAATACGCTTTCTTGAATTCATGTAAAATTCTAATTTAGGAAACCAGAGCAAGTAGAAGGGGCAGAAAATATTGAAACACCAACACCGGCGTATCCAGGAGATGGAGCAGAAAATGATCCAGGAGCGTGGGAAGAGAACTTCAAATCTCACCAAGATTCAAAACCATTTGGGCCAGAAGCCATAGCACTTGACTTCACCTTTCCCGGAGCAGAACATGCTTATGGCATTCCAGAACATGCTGACACTTTTGCACTGAAATCCACAAAGCAAACAGACCCATATCGATTATACAATTTAGATGTCTTTGAATACGAAGTCAATGAGCGCATGGCTTTATATGGTGCTGTTCCTGTTCTTTATGCTCATGGGTATTTAAAACACATTATATACATGCCCCTTTCAAAATTCATTAATGTCATAAAACAATTGATTACTATATTGTAATCACTTTATTCCATTATTTACAGTAAGGATAGGACAACGGGCATCTTTTGGCATAATTCTGCTGAAAGTTGGGTTGACATTCTCACAAGTGCAGATAATAATGTCGTTGAAAGTATCGTAAGTCTTGTAGCTGGAGCAAAGAAGCCTCAAGTAGATGCTCATTTTATATCTGAATCTGGGGTCATCGATGTATTCTTTTTACTTGGTCCTAAACCTCTGGATACGTTCAGACAATATACTGTTCTAACAGGAGTTGCACCTTTGCCACAGGTAAAGTTTCATTACAATTAATATCTCACAAACTAGTGCTCTTAATTGGTTTTATATTTTATTATTAGCCATATCTAAAACACGGTCGACTTTTTTTTCTAGATATTCTCCTTGGGATACCATCAGTCTCGTTGGAACTACAATGATCAAGATGACGTGGCACAAACTGCAGAGAATTTCGACAGATACGATATGCCACTGGATGTTATGTGGTTGGACATTGAATACACCGACAGTAAAAGGTATTTTACCTGGGATGAACGCAAATTCCCAAATCCTCTTGAAATGATCCAGAATCTAACGGCAAAGGGCAGAAAACTAGTGGTTATTATTGATCCGCATATCAAACGAGACACTGGATATTTCTTACATAATGATGCAACGAGTCTAGGATATTATGTTAAACACAAAGATGGAAAGGATTACGAGGGATGGTGTTGGCCGGGTGCCGCTTCATACCCGGACTTCTTCAACCCAAAAGTACGCGAGTATTTTATGGATCTTTATTCTCTCGAGAAGTTCCACGGTACCACGAACGACGTGTACATCTGGAACGATATGAACGAACCAAGTGTATTTAATGGGCCTGAAATATCAATGCTGAAGGATTTAGTCCATTATGGCGGTTGGGAACATCGTGACGTTCATAACATTTACGGGTTGGCGTACACGATGTCTACCTATGATGCTTTATTCCGACGATCTGGAGGTTCTCTCCGTCCGTTTGTTCTCACAAGGGCACACTTTGCGGGGTCGCAACGATTTGCGGCAGTATGGACGGGAGATAACACTGCTGAGTGGGATCACCTTCGTATATCTTATCCCATGTGTCTGTCTCTCGCCGTAGCGGGAATCTCCTTCTGTGGATCCGATGTTGGGGGATTTTTCAAGAATCCCGACCACGAGCTGTTTGTCCGATGGTACCAAGCTGGCGCCTGGCTCCCCTTCTTCCGGCAACATTCCCACATTGAAACAAAACGGCGAGAACCGTGGACTTTCAATGAAGAAACCATTCAGATTGTACGAGAGGCATTGCGTATGAGATATTCCTATTTACCTCTATGGTACACATTATTCCGAGAACATGAAGTGAACGGTACGCCTGTGATAAGACCGCTTTGGGCGCATTATCCTACCGAGACTCAGACATTTACCATCGATACTCAACTTTTGGTTGGAGATTCCGTTCTCGTTTGCCCAGTATTTAGTCCTTCCGTTACTGAAATATCAGTGTACTTCCCTGGAGAAAGAAAGGTTGCTTGGTATGACATCGATACTATGCAAAAATACCAGGTATCCGGTTCAACGAACATTCCAGTCACTCTCTACAAAATACCTACGTTCCAAAGAGAAGGCTCGATCGTTCCTCGCAAGATGAGAATTCGACGAAGCACCGTCGCAATGAAAGATGATCCTCATACTCTAATAGTCATTGCTGATGATAAAAGAAAAGCCAGTGGAACTCTATATATCGATGATGAAGTCAGCTTTGAGTATCGCCATGGAAAGTACTTGTATTTGAACCTGACCCTGGACGGAAATAAACTAACCTCGACGCTTATAGACAAATTAGCTACGTATGAGACGAAGAGCTGGCTTGAACGAGTAGACATTGCAAACCCGCCACCAGGTGTCAAGTCTGCCAATATAATCACACGAAGTAAGTGTAATATTTTATAACATTTATTACCTTTTAACCTATATGGAAACTTTTTATTTCATACCTGCTTATTTTTTTTATAGACCATGGTAAAGTAACTTTGGAAACCAAATACAACCCCAATAATAATGTACTGACAGTGCGTAAGCCTGGTGTAAATATGGGAGAAGAATGGACGATTGAGTTGATTCATTAATTGCTTAATCTGGTGTGCAATTGCAACATCCTCGCGGTAACACTCTGTTGTTCATACTCATTTGAGTTTTCAGCTATCTGTGATCCGGAACAGTTATACGATAAAGTCAGCAGGTAAAGTAACATAGTTAACATGTAGGAGACATGCATGGATTCCTTCGAAAGAAAACTCAGGATATATATATCAGACTTTTAAACTGTGCTTAGTATATTCGAGCAGTGTAAGTTCGAAGATATTTATGTAGACGTGATCCAATGTAACACATTTTTATATTCGTACCTACTCATAGCAGTGAATAGTTTAGCAATAAATATGTTACGTTTAAACATTAAAATAGGAATCCTTGACTGGTTTGTTTTAACACAGTAATGAACTGAGTATATTTTATATCAAGCTCTCTTGAACCATTTAGTACACCTTAAGTATACTTCAAAGTGTTTGGATTATTTTCAAGTCATTTTGTTGTGTAAAAAATGGTTTTATTCATGCACGTTCAACAGGTGCTTGTTTATGAGCCAAATATAAAAAGGCAATAGAAGAAAGCGCTGATACCAAAAATATGACATCAAACCAACGGTGATAAAAATTAAACTGCAGGTCACCTAACACTTGCGTTATTATTATACGATACTCTGCAGGCATATTCATACGCATAAGAAGTACGGATGACACAAAGTACATGCCCTGTAACAATATACTATTTAGAACACAATACAAGAAATATTGTTTAAGAAAGAGTATTGATATGATTTTTTACCATTATTTGCGCAAGAATAAGTACAATTATGTTCGATGATTTACTACTGGATATTGCATAGAAGAACTGAAATAGAATTATAAGAAATTAGTAGTTTGAAAAAAGTTTTAACCCTCGCAAATTCGATTTACCTTGGTAAGTGTGAGCAACAATCCTCGAATTGAAGTAACCACGATGCATCCAACTAAATAAAAGGATACGTGTTGTGACCAGAATGTAACATCGATATTAAAGCCAATCCAGTGAACTGCTATTTCAATGCCTCTGGTGACAGGATCCTTTTTACCAACTCGATCAAAGACAATATTTATGGTCGACTAGAGGTAAGTTATAGAATTATTTTAAATAACATATATTGAACAGTATGTACTTTCATTAATGAAATATCTAATTAAATTTACTTTAAATCTCTTTCAGAGAAATTTGCTTACAATGAAGATTTTCCACATACAATATATAGAAAAGAAATAGCCTAGGAAGTTGAAGTATTTTCCCTGCCATGTAGCAGCCCATTCCAATCGTTCTCTTGCATTATGGATATCATGAGCTTCTAAAAAGAGTTGTCGAGATAATTCTTCTAGAGCAGATACTTCTTGCTGAAGTTGTTTCACATCTAAAAATTCGTGAAAATTATAAATGACTTTAAGCAGAATTTCGCATGCTAGTGAGTGACACTCACTTTCCTGGTTCCCTTTCATGCTACTTAATGGGGACAATATGCCCCATAGTCGAGAACGAGCTTCAATCTGTGCTGAAACTTCACCTTTCTTAGCTAACGCTATTCGTTTTTTTTTTGCAACAATCATGTCCATCGTTTGCAGCAGTCGCTTCTCTATAGACTGAACATCTGCATATGAAACAGGCCTCATAAAGTAAGTCATAGAAGAATATGGGTAGTTCACGGCACCAAATCCTGATAACAGGGCCATGACTGTTACACCTATAACTCCAATGCGGCTTACACCTTGCTCTATCGACAATAGGCCTTTTTTAGGACTTAAAATTGGAAATGGATCTCCAATTTTCCAGAATAGGTATAAGTAGGAAAGATATACTAATATAGTTAATGGTCTTATCAAGTGGTTCCTTACTGTAAATTAAACGATAATTAGAATCGGTCCGAAATAATAGATTGCCATTTATAACCCATTGAATATACATACCAAAATTAATGTTGCTAATAATAAAATATGCTATATAAAATGGTATCAAAACTATGACCATAAACAGGAGCATGTAAAGTCCAGCATTCCAGTGAAAATACCTAGAACTAGAAGTTAAACAATTGAGAACGGTTCTTACGAACAGTTGTATAATGACATTATCCCATTTGCTTTGAAGATTTATGCCATACCTTGTATCTAAAACTCCTATTATCTCAAAAATGATCAATTCAAACATTGTACAAGACAGAGAAAATGTAACAGAGAAGATGAGCTGTACTAATCGATGGTGGACTTCATAGTCACGAAAAAGTTTTTTTACAAAGAAAACCCATCCTCCTGCAAAGAACAGTACCTGAAACATTTTAAAATTCATTCGATACTCCATTCTACACAATATAACCTATCGCTAAATTATATTCTTTGATAACGTGCATTCAAACGTTCACCTGAGTAATTAATATCACAAAAGTATCTTCTAAAAAGCCCATATTTTTCTAGTGTAGTGTTTAGCTTCATGTGAATAAAATGGTTCGTTGTTTAAATTGACAGCTCAACAATTCGGCAAAACACGTACACATGGTGGTCTCATTTCGGCGCGGTTGACCAATGAACTTCAATGTCACCAGAACTCCTACCACTACTTAGAACCCAGATACGGAGCAGCGGGACCAATCATAACCTCACAAATAGGAAGCTAGTTGCGGCGCCCACTGGATGACGCCACGGTCGCCGATCATTTTCTTTTTCATAGATCAACGGAGACAGAATTCGCTCTCGTGGAAATCTGCATTTCACTTACGAAATGACATTCGGGTTGCTGCAATTTTTTAGATTGTAACGTTATATATATTTTTGTATACCGTATCGTAATATATATAAAATATTTATAACGATACGATCCACCTAGATAAGCAAGGTGTCTTTCACTCGCTTTCACCCAAGTGTCGGGGTTTGCTTGATTTTCCGCCAGAATTCTTAATGACGTTCGACGAAACGTTTTCTTTTCGTTAAACGTTTTACTTCATCGTCGACTTAATTGGCACGGATGGAATTAATGCGAGTCATCGGTAGTCGCCTACCGTTGCGAAAGTTAAATATCCCGAGTAGGATTTACAATCGGGCTTAACTCGAGACAAATAGAGTTGCATGTCCGATAACGAGATGGCCGGATGATTTTAGCGGCTTTTAGCTAGTAGCTTTCAGCGGCTCGACTAGTTCGGCCTTGTCGTCGAGCTCTTTCCCCTTCGGGTGAGCGTCGGGATGGGATATACACACCGAGGTATTCCATGAGGTCGGCTTCTTGTACGTGCAGCCGATCGACTTCAAGGTGGGGATACTTTATGCAAGGACGAGGAAGGGATGATTGCTGGAGCGGGAGAGGATACTGTTTGACATTCCAGGCGAGGCTGTCCGAAGCTGGCCTGCGCCCCGATACAGCCTTGTGCGTATCATACGCACTCGCGAGCGTCTCCGAGCATTTTCCCTTTTTTTTTTTTAATTCCTTCGTGTAACTTTCGATCTACTCTACGTTTACCCATTATGCGATGCTCAGCTCTTAACGGATGGTCCGGGTAAAATCAGGGGGTACGTAATGGCGCGGCATTTGATTTAGAATTTGTCCCTGCAGGTAGACATCGATGCGCCGCGAACGCAGGTCTTAAGTAGACCATTTATGCTCGGCCACGTTTCCCGATTTTTACCCGGTCGTTGTATAATCGGGAGAAGGAGAAAATAAGTATCTCTCGTAAATGCGACAATAATACGTCCTAACATATGTCGTCCACGTTCGAGGTGCAAGAAGCAGCGAAACACGCTTGAGATCGACGTTTTCAATATTGATGCGCCGACACGCGACATATTCTCGATGACACCGTAGTGTGTACTTACACGCCTTGGGAGTCTGTTGTTTGCTTACCAATTGAGGAAAATAAACCAGGATGAGTCTCAAACGAGTCTCGCGCGAGGTGCAGCCTTGCATGAAAATTAACCCGGGGATGACGAAGATGTTTTACCTTTACCCTTCGTCCTCTACTAAATCTACTTACGGCTTACATCTAAGTCAGTCCTCGTACCTCGCTTTTAGCGCCGAAAGACGCGTCTTATCCACAGTCATTAACTTCTACAAGACGCCTTTTGACTCTAAAAGTTACAATACTCGCTGGAATATCTCTAAAGATCCACCGAAGGCGTTAAAGTGCATCTAACGACCACAAGTCTCGATTTGAAATTTTTCCCTCGCGGCCATACATTTCTAGCGTAATATCAACGCGGTGCGACATGCCCGAAGACGTACCAAGATCCTCGGGAGATCTTCGAGAGACTCCTCGTACACTTTCCACGGAGTGTCGAGTGCGATAAGGCGGACGATGCGTTTCCGCATTGTACCGGCAACCTTTCGCGTTCTTGTACGCACTCGGTCGTACATCGACGGACACAAATGCCTTCCCTCCGCGTACCGACTTGCGCCATGATCGCGGAAGAGGCATTCGCGGCCACTAATATACATCAAGGTAGGTAACTATCGACATTGTCCGCCGTAACGAAATCGACGGAATAACAATTAGGATAACGCCAGGCGCCGGCGAGGCCCCGACAATCGTTATCATGCCTCGAATTTCGATCGACGATAACGGATGTGGCGTCGCATTCCTGGCAGCGCATTCCTGGACATCGATAACTCCTCCCACGATGTTTCTTCAGCGGCCGGTCATCTGGAAAATATTTACAATTAATCTCACGTTGGTCACAGTTTCCAGGATTTAACGGGGCGGGCAATTTTCCACGTATCTGGGGATCGCAGAAATCGCGGGGGCGGCGATTTGCGATTCGCTCGCGGCGAAGGCGAAGTCGAGGCGCTACCGAGCCCCGCGCGCTTTCTTCCCCCCAAGAGCACCGGTGAATTACGATTGCGATACTTATCGAACACCGTTAACAGCAGAGATAAATCCGCCGGCTGATTCGTTCGTCGCCGCCGAAATTTATTCCCGCGTTAAACCTACACGGGCGCAGGAGGAAAACGTACCGCGCTGTCGGTCATGAATAGAGATTCAATTTGAGCGCGTCCGTCTTTCGGGCCCGGCGAGTCGAACGATAAAGCATCGAGATAGCCGCTTATTTTGGATCGACGGCTTCTCCGGGAAAAGTAGCGGCGTAATGGCGTGCCATTAACTTAGGACTGAGTTACGAGCTACTTAACCGAACCCATCGTTATTGCGGATGATTCGTTGCATTCGTCCCTGCGGATAATAACGAGGAGTGCTTACGCGCTAAGGGCGAGCCCGAAAGGGGCACGTCTGAAATCGAGTTTACACCGGGACGGTAACTAAATACAGAGCCACGGGGTGTAATTAAATCGGAGTAGAGTCTGAATCTTCCTCTCTCGATTGGGGAATGGGATATTTAACGGAGTTCTTATTCATTATCTACCGGCGGACAATCCCTCTCTGGATTTCCAGCCGATCTGGCCCGTAAAAGGCGCGGGGAATCGGTGACATTCTCCGAGGCAATTAACCGAGAGTTCAGGAATTTCATTCACATGGCCAAGACCGAAGGCGCAACCTTTTCGACCGATTTAAGGTCGATTCACCCTGTCCGACGCGTGCCGGTGCCGATACGCCGTGATTTCGCAATCTCGTTTACGAGACATCGATTTCAAGATGCTCAAAAGGTTACGCCAAATTATCCAATTAATCGTGACCTGTCCAATTACCGGAAGTTCAGAGATTCTAGTACCGCGACTTTAAATGACCTAACGTTTTAAAAAACTTGAAAATTTCTAAGAACCATACTTATCTCCCATAATTCGTTAAAAATCTGAAAAATATCTCGAATTATACCGAAAAATGTAAATTCTCTTAGATTTTAGGAGTATTTAATCATGGGTTAAATTCTCGGTTAAATTCCCGTGTTCTCGGTTACATTACCCGTGTACACAACGCGCCAAAAACTGTAGGCGATCCGCTCTTTTATAATTCCCTGAAACGTTGAAAATACCCAGAATTTTCTTAGAAAAAATGTAAATTCTCTTAAAAGTTTGGGGAAATTAATCATCAGTTAAACAATCGGTAAAAATCCCGTATTCTCGGTTACATTACCTGTGTAATACAGCGGACTAAAAACCGTAGACGAGCGGCTCGGCCGAGGCTGGATCGAGTCGCCGGCCGCGGCCGCCGGCAGCGCTGGGGTCGGCGGCGCCCCTCCCCCACTCTTACCGCGGAGGGTCTCAGAAGCACCTGTTGCGCGCCTACCTGTTCGGCTCGGCGGGCCGCGGCCGGTCAGTACGGCTCGGGGTGCGCGCCAGGCACCATCAGCGACGTATCACGCGCGGAGACGGGCAGAGTTGCGGCGAGCGCCGGTGAAATGCCTCGCCTCGTGAAAGCCGTGTGATAGCCGAGCGGCCGGCAGGGTGCGCGCGCAGCCGCGGCCAGCGGCGCAGGAGGCGCGCGAATCGCGCGAGTGGCGAGTACCGGCGATGCGCGCCGATCGGCCCTGAGAGGGACCACGACACGGGACATGGAAGAGGAGGCCGGGGGGAGCTGCTTCGCCGCGGGAAGCGTCGCGGGGGCCGTCGTCGGGACCTTCCTCGCGACGGTCCTGCTCCTCGCGGTGGCCGCTCTTCTCTACAGGCAGTGGCGCAAGCACAAGGGTGAGTCGAGGCGTACCCGCATCGCCCCTACGCTCCCACGGGAGCGAGAGAGACGCAAATACGCAATTCCCACAAGAGCGAGAGAGACGTAGATACGCGACCCAGTGCGCGGGAAGAATACCTCCTCACCGACCCTGAAACGTACAAAGTCGCGAAAATGTATGCATAGGAACGTTTACATAAGGAACGTTTAAAGAGACTTTGATTCAGGAAAGGGGAATGTTTACCCGGGGGCCCCGAAATGCGGATTACGTAAGGCTCCTTCGAGGTCGTCGAGAGCGAGGATTCAGGTTTTAATGCCCGCGTTCTGGGAAGAATGGCAATGACCTTCCTTCTCGATGGGCTTTATGTTTTCGTTCCCGACCACGGGGGAGAGACTCGGGTTTTTGCGCGACGTGGAATAGGTTCCCTCGAAACTCCCGCGGTGTAGCGCGGGGATCGAACCCGAGGTTTCGGATGGCAAGAGCGAAAACAAGGGGGAGAGTGCAGGTAGCTCGGGAGACCAATATCGAGCCCGGATCGTTCTTGCGCCTACGCTCGCCGTATTACGCTGCACGTCGTGGCGTCAGATACACGGACGTGTACGAGAGTACGCGTATACGTACGTACGAAATTCCAGCAAGATCTCCGAGTGCGACGCGTGCCGATCGCTCGAAAACTTGAGGCCTCGACCGAGCGATTTAATTCCGTCCCTCTTGGACCCCAGGATGCGCGGCTTCTCGTTTCTGGAAGTCTTCGCCGTTGCTTTAGAGAAATTGAAAAATACACGGCGTCGCTCGCGACCCGGCAATTCCGCGTATTTCGTAATCGTCCGTGCGAAGGGGAGAGGGGGGAAGTATGATTATAAATCGGGGACGGTTTCGTTTGCCGAGAGGAATCCTTTTCCTTGGATTGCTTCGGTGGGGTACGGGCGTGTTTTTAAGATGTTTTGGGGGGGAGAGAGAGGGGAGTTATGGGGGAAACGGATTTCGAGCATCGCCGGGTATCGAGTATCGAGTCGCTCCTCGAGAGTGCACCTGCATTCCTGAGACGAGTTCGGAGTCTCCTGGAAATTCCGGCTCTCGAGGCTCTCGGTTCCCTCCCTTTTCCTCGGCCCGATTCCCCGGAATATCGGGACTCCGTCCGAGGAATCCACCGAGTACTCGGGAGGGTCCGAGGTGCTCGAAATCGAGGGCCGCAGGATACCTGGCGCGATACCTGCAGGATGCCGCAGGACGCCGCGGGATTTACCGCAGGATACCCAGAAGCATCCCGGCCACCTTTCCATCGGTCTCGGCTGACAGCAGCGCTCGAAAGTACTTTCCAAGTACCGAGGAATGGACGAATTCACTCGGCCCCTTTCCACCTGAGCAGCTGGAATGCAGCGCTGCTCCGTCTCGACCGGGTCTCGGCTCCCTCTCGGGACTTTGACGATTTCTTTCTTTTTTTTTTTTGGTCCCCCCCTTTTATCGAGCAATTCCGAGCGAGATGTTACGGCCAGGACATCTTTTCACTCTGGGTTCTCAATGAAACGCGCCGGTGCGCGAGTTAACGTTGGATCGACGGCGAGTGAACGTCGAATCGACATCGTTCGTTCGGTAGACGTCGCGCCGACGCGAACAGCTGTTTGCGACGGACCGAGCCCACGATTTACGAAGCTGGGACACGTTCGTTGCACCCACTTGGACCCGTCTCGTTGCATACCGATCGGAAGAGAGAGGGACGAGCACGCCGCGGCGGCGCTGTCATCCGACCAAGTTTCATAACTTTCTATCTCCGGAACTGTTAACCCATTTCCACCGCGACGGCTTCGCATTCCGCTCGAATGGGACCTGAAATATGTACCGTAACTTTTCTCGTTGGTCACGGATCGTCGGGGCTCCCGGGCCCCGCGGTGCGCGGGCACAAATCAGCGCTAAAGACTTTAACGAGCCCGAAGGCTCCGCTCGGCGATCGGATCTAATTCCGTGTTCCCGGGGGCTCTTCCGGTGCTCGCTGCCGTGGAATCCGAGGAATTAGCGGTGCACGCGTGCATGCACCAAGGCGCATAGAACGCCGGGCCGGGCCGCGGCTCGCAAAACCGGCGAAGGCCTTTAGAAAGTGCGGCTTCGGGCTCCCGCCAGGTCGTCGAGAGCCCGATACCACCGGAGGCATGGCATGTCGTTTCTGAGACTGTGTGAGACGAGTACGCACGCACGTATGCACCCGAGGGAGCCCGAAGCCGGGTCACGCGACGAATACGCGCGCGCCCGTAATCGCGACACGCGCGTGCGACGGCGAGTGCGAATCGCCCGCGAATTGGAAACCCCGGGGAATTTCGACGATAATTCTCCGTCCTCTTGTTAGGCGCGAATCTCTCCTCTTGGCTCGGTCCCACCGTTCGTAATCGCACCGGCGAAAGCGAAGGCGAGTCGCTGCGCGAATTGAAAACCCTGGGGAATTTTATCGATAATTCTCCGTCCTTTTGTTCGGAGTGTATTTCTCGCCTTGGCTCGGTTTCACTGTTCGTAATCGCGAAAGCGAGGGTGAGTCGCCCCCGTATTGGAAATCTCGTGGAATTTCGCCGATAATTTTCTGGTTTCTTTTCTTTCTTTTTTTCGTTCGGAGCGAATTTTTTATCTTGGCTTGGGATCAATTGTTCGTAATCGCGCGGGCGAAAGCAGAGATGAGTTGCCCGTGTATTGGAAAGCACGTGGAATTTTGTCGATAATTTTTTTTTTTCGTTCGGAGCGAATTTTTTATCTTGGCTTGAGGTCAATTTTTCGTAATCGCGCGGGCGAAAGCAAAGATGAATCGCCCGTGTATTGGAAAGCTCGTGGAATTTTGTCGATAATTTTTTTTTTTTTCGTTCGGAGCGAATTTTTTATCTTGGCTTTTGGTCAATTGTTCGTAATCGCGCGGGCAAAAGCGAGGGTGAGTCGCCGCGTATTGAAAAGTTTGGGGAATTTCACCGATAATTTTCTGTTTTCTTTTTTCCGCGCAAAGCGCATTTTATGCCTTAACTTGGCTCCATTGTTCGTAGTCAGTATATGGGAGCGAAGGAACGCAAATCGTGACGGAAACCACGCAGGATTTTTTTCCCCAAATTCTCCGCCCTTTTGTTCGGAAGGAATTTTTTTGCCTCGGAGCGGTTTTACCGCGAGTCGCGGCCCGGAAATCCCGCGGAATTTCTCTAGCAATTCTTCGCCCTTTCGTCCAGAGCGAATTTCCCACCGCAGCCGGTCTCACAGCTGATAATTACACCGTGCAAGATTTACTACGGGTGCATTGTGCGTCGCAGAAATATGGAATTCGATGCCCGAGCACGGCACGGCCCGAGATGCGAAATTTATCGGACGTGTTTTCTCCGGTTTACCGGGCGGATTTTTAGAGGCTCTGCGGAATGTTACATTTCTATCGTGTGTTAAGTGGCGTGTGCCCACGCGTGTACATTATACATCGTTTGGCTCGTACAAGTAGGTATGCCCAGAAACTCGATTTTCGATGCAAATCTCGTGGGCTTTTACCCTCTGAAAAATATCCATTCGAAATATTCACTGTCAAAAAAATTCATAAAATTCATACGCTTTTCGTACATAAGGTTGCAGTAAAATTATAAATTTGATGGCTTAACAGTGAATTAGTATACAATATTTCGAAATTTCGTATCTCGAATACGGTGCGTTATGGTAGGTGAATGTATTAACATTTTTGTCTTCTTCCCACATCTTACCATTTTATTCAAAATTTTTTTTCAAACTCAAAACAATCCTCCTGTACTTGGAAATTGTTCCTCGAGACGATTTACCTCTATTCCGAGCGTCGCGGTTTTTCATATCGGCATGGTATGTATTCGAAAGAGGCCGAAATATCGAGCTATTTTTAACAATGTGGCGGGGGTACAAATTCATGGAGGCGCCATTCTTGAAATCGGCGACACTCCCCACGCGCGTTGCGCAAATCACTGCCCAGTCCGGGATGCACCTAAGAAGGCGTTCGTGCCGATCCTACGCGAATGCATGCCTCGCATTGCTGCACGTTTTACGGGTGCACGCGTGCATAACTCTCATCCGAAAGCGGGTCTTTCTTTCCTTTGCGATGTCTTCGCGTGGTATTAATTTTATCCGAAATTTTGAGCGGACATTACCTTCCCAGGTGAGCTTATTTCTGGGACCATGATTTAAGGTGAAGTGAAATCCCCCTCAAATCAGTCGATTCGAATACAACACTTCTTTTTTAAGGGTATTCGACCAAACTATCCGAAACTTCGACATATGACTCGTGATCATCTAAGAATTGTCCTGACACATTCAGAATTTGGATTTTTCAACACAATTTTTTAATTTAGTCCAGACCAGAATTAAAATGGCGTCGAGGTTTCATATTTCGATTAATATACAATTATTGAAGGCTCTGATATATCCGAGTGTCAGGACAATTTTACGACAATTTAGAACACTCTGGTAATCGATAAACTCGCATCTGAACGGGCTAAAGGCAAAAAAGTGTCTTATGCGCTTCTACGCCGAAACGATGGAAATACGATGTCTCGGAGTGAAAATTTAATTGACCTGGAAATCACAGATGGCGCAGGGGGTCCCTCTGCAGTCAATTAGGGCCCCAGAAAGCATGAATCCAGAGGAATTCTGGAGTTTTGCTTCGATTTCTTTATAATTATTGTACGAAAACGATAGGTGGAGCATGCCATTTGGTGCAATACCCAATATAATTCGACACCGCTGTCAATCTAAAAAGGAACGTTGGCAACGTAGGTATTTAGAAAACTCTTTTTTATCGACTTCGATCAAATTCCTCTATGTCTTTCACTTCACCTTAAGAGAGTTGAGTATAGGGACCGCGGACGAGTGCGTGCAAAAATCCGCGACCACGCTCGACTCGATACGTGTAAGCATTAGGTACTGATAACGACAAGAGGGACACCTCACGAGGACTCGCCTAATACGTGGATTCCCCAGGAACCCGAAATCTCGGGGATGCACCTGCGACCGTGAAAGCGCGAGCAAGACTGGAAAACTTTGATC